ATGAATCGATTGAAATTAGATATTAACACTGTTGGGTGCCAGTTTATTGATTAAGAGATTAAGCGTTCGTGTACGAGACCGAAGGTCTTGGGTTAGACTCCCTTTGGTGTGGGATCATGGATGCGCACTGGTGAGAAGTCCCATACTAGGAAGAAACAGCCTTCCAATACTTTCAGGTTTCCAATGGTGGTTTAGTTTACATTGACTCATAAATTCAATCATTAAACTTACTACAATCTCTACAAATCCCCATTCTGACCATAAAAATAAGAAACTTAATTCAAATTAATTCCTATTTTAGATACATCATAAAATTCAATGTATTTTTTTGTATAGAGAAATTTGAAACGTAACTTTGAATTTCTTTGTCTCATTCATTTTCTTTTATTCATTGTGTTATCGAAATGTCTTTTTTACTATTCAATGATCATTTTCGCCTTATCTATTTGTCTGATGAAACCTGATAAACCGTAAAAAACTTGACAGTGAAATAAGACTCACTTTATTATTTTACATGTGATTGATTGTTCGGGTGATCTTGAATAAATCAATACAGAATTTTAATACTTAACTATTTTCAGAATGGGTTTTTCTGAAAATTATAATAATTTTTAATACTTGAGATCACGATTCAATCAAAGCTAGACTAGCATGGAAAACCTGGAAGCACTTGACGGCCGTTTCGCAGCAGTGCGCATCCACGATCCCACCTCGTGAAATTCGGACCTAGGACCTATTGGTCTCGCGTGCTATCGCTTAATACCACCATTGAACAGGCATCCAACGGTGTTAACGTCTAACTCCAACTAATACACGAAATTGAGCGACACATCCACCACTGTTTTCAGTGAGTTACTATCTCACAACTGACCCGGTTGAACTCCACTGGTCACTGCTCGTCACTAGAACTCCAGGAAATACCTCTTGAAGCCAGTCACTAGTGAGCATTTGTTGATTATTATGAGAAGGGTTTTTTGTGGATATTATGGTAATTTTTAATAGTTGAGATCACGAGTCAATCGAAGCTAAACCAGCATGGAATTATAATTATAATTTACAGTTAATGGTTAAGGTTAAAAATTAGATTTAGGATTTTCATCACGAACTAACATCAGCTATAATACCAAAACTCTACTTATCCAAACGGATGAATGAATTTCGCGCCAAAATCCAAGATCTGTTATCTTAAATCTGATTGGTCCGTCCATAAATTATAGTCTCTCCAGGAAAACAAACAATTGTTTCTTTTGGATGAATAAATCTAGTTTGGGACACTTGATAGCAACTTGGTTTTTTAATAATCTCTTTGTAAGGATTCATGATGTCTATCTATTGTTTTATCCTGTGCAAAAGGGATGTTCAGAAATTTCTCTACTGAACGTCTTCATTCTTCATGAACGAAGGCCTTTTAGAATGTGTTTAATAAATCTAAGATAATGATATCTTCCTCCTCTATCACAATATAAATGATATGGCAAGTACACGTAAATTTATCTAAACATGTAGAGGTAATATAAAAGTCAGATATTTTGACCATTAAATTATTTTTATTACAATGGTTGAGATCATGAGTCAATTAAAGCTAGACCATCATAGAAAACTTGGAAGTACTGAATTATTATAAAGGGAAGACTGTGAAACCTCCCCCATTAACAAAAACTACACGCCCGAGCATACCCAATTAGGGTTCGTCGCGAGTTTCAACCCACCGAGGTGAAATGGTAAGCCTCCACCCCGGGGTCAAAGCATTCCTGATCACCTTGAACCCAGTCCCAACTGATCTAGCCTTAATCTCCACAAAACCCCCTCTTCTAATAATTCATAGTTATTCAGTACTATCAATTCTATTACAAAGAAAAGATTCTTAGTAATTATTTTAATAGTCAATAAGAGTCATCTGTATTTAATAATTACAGTTTTCTACTCATTCGATCATTATCACTTTTTCCATTCATCATATGTATGATGTATACACTTCATTATATTAACGAACTTTAGGTTTTCCACTATTTCTAACACTTTAATCATTTGTAAACCTTTTTATAATAGCTCATAAGCACGTATAATTCACATTCATAATTATTCAATTCAAATGAATTTAACATGAATATGTTAACTGAAATCTTTGCATAGTTAGAAAACAAGTAGCCTACAAAATTTCATAAGGTCACTATGATACAATTTCATCGAATAAATAGTTAGGTAAACTGTTCTGAAAATTATATCTATCCTCAAATTCACTTGGTTTTAGTTTAGTTGAATCTTCCTATGGATGTTTAGGAGTAAACACCAACTTTGAGATGTAGATATATCCAGCGTGTACTGTATTCCACTGCTAATCCCTATCCATCTTTGTTTATACCTATCTTTGTTTACTATTTTCCTTTCAGAAAATATCAGTTACTGTTGATGGCAATAAAATTGTGAATATGCTAGGATGGATAGTGGCTAGCTGTTGAATTCAGGACTCCACTTCAGGAATCCCACGATAAGACGAAACGACCGTTTCGTCCTAGTATTGGACTCCTCATCAGTGCGCATCCACGATCCCGCACCCCGCGACATTCGAACACAGGACCTATCAATCTCGCTCCAGGTGCTTAACCAACTAGACCGCTGAGCCGGCATTCAACGGCGTTATTGTCTAACTAAAGTAAAATAAACTGATTTATAACGCTGAAATTGTATACAGGAACTTGATTAGTACTGTCATGGGATTGAAACATGGCCTTTTTTAGATAGTTATTTAATCGTAGATCTCCTCAAATTACTGATCATATACAGTGTTGTTGAGTTGGTAATAGTAAAATTAACAACAAGGTTCTAAATAAAATTTATAAATCGGTTGATTTATATGTGTATCTTTATCAATTTAAATGATATGTAATGCGTGGTCAGTCATCATATTATTGGTGAGTATAGAAATAAACTGACAAAGACTAATCATGGACAGTTTAAAGTATGGAGTTAATTTGTGGTGTTATGAACTATAAACCTAAGTCGTTTCGACAATTACAAAATTTCCAGTCGGCTTTCATGTGATAGTTGTAATGTATAGTTGGAGATTTTACGTGAAATGGCTTAGAATCAGCTGTAATAAAGTAGGTTTATTTCATTTTATTTTTTTATAATTACTCTTCTCAGTGTCACCTCATACTATCCGCTAGCAAATCCAATTAGCTTTTTAAAGTTATAAGTTGCATTATAGGGGTTTACAAATCTCTTTTTATTTTCATGGTTAACATGACGGAATGCTGAGTAGCGTGTGAGTACTATTGAAGAGTTCCATATTAGGATGGGACAGTTGTCCGATACTTCCTGGCTTTTAGGGGTAGTTAGCAAAGTTTGTTCATTGATGCTAATCATAAAAAAGAATCATCATGTTAATTTTCTCGTGAAATTAATGTTATATATTTCAGTAATTACATTTCTTGCCATGCTGATGCGAATTGCAGTGGTTCAAACGGATATATATATATATGATGGATTAGAGTTTATGATGAAGAAAAGTGAATTTCAATGATCCCATATTATATCAGATGATATTCATAATCAGCTGTGGGGGGGGAATCACTGAAAGGCAGGAAGTAGTGAACAGTTATTCTGTCTTGATATTGAACTTGAAAGTATTGTGTACACACGACCCCAAAAAAGGATCGAACTCAGGTCTTTCAAGTCTCACAAAGCAGTTACAACTTATGCTATTAATTTGAACTTTAATAATTTGCCTTTTGAATTTCAAACAGTTTGATATACAATTTAATGTCCAATAAAAGTTATTAGGGATGATCGTCTCACTCTACCGGTCACAATGGCCCACTAAAACCGCAGTGATAAATTTTGAATTAAGTCATTAGTGAACATAAGATTAGAATTTTGTAGAGAAAATTCGAAAACACTAGATTAATGTCTAAGTATCAAGTTTATTATTAAACATAAAACATCGTATGTTATTTTTATTAACAATTAACAACGTAGGAAAAAACTAGTTCATCATTCATTGGAGTCAGTAAATCTTACTTACTTATTTAATTACTTAATTACGCCTGTTACTCCTCGTGGAGGAGCATAGACCGCCCACAGCACAGTCAGTAAATCATTCACCACTAAATGTTCCGTATCAAATAAATCTATACTAACTCATTTGCATGATAAATGATCTCTAATCTGATTTCCTTTTATCTGATGGAGATAAACATTTGAAAAAATAATCATAATCTTCATGAAATACCAAAAAATCATTCACTGTGAAATATACTACTTATTATATTTTATTTTATTTGTGACATTAAGCAAATGGAATACTTCGAAAACCATACACTGAAAACTTTCATGTTAGTTTGTTAGTTATTCACAAGCAACGTCGAACCTTATGTCATTTATGTTTCACCTTAAGTTATCATGCCATACTAGCATACCAAAATATAATTATCAAGATGATTTCTAGAGTAGTAGAAGTTGTAACAACATCAATGGTAATAGAAACACATTCGATGGAATAATAAGTATAAGGTTATATTAAAACTTGAAATTAAAGAGAAGATAAAGAATAAATGCATCTGTATCATTGTAGTCGATTCTAAGCTATATCCTCCAATGTCTTCAATACACTTGGTTAAACATTATCTGTACAATACAAGTTCGAATAATATTACTTTCAAAGTGGTATGATAGATGTAGTTGAGAAATACAAAATATATAGTGAATAGGTTTTAACTATATTAAATATAAAGGATTTGCCTACTGAAATCACAAACCGATTGAAACATGATAATGTAAACTACTGACTCAGTAGTTTTAAGGTGAAATATTCACTTAAAGAGATCTGAAGGTTTTAGGTTCCATTGAAGATGAGATCTCACTGATAAAGAATTTCATACTAGGATGAAATAGCTATCCAATAATTCCTGACAACATTCAACAATCTCTACAAATCCCCATTTATATAAAACTCTTGTTTTATGTTGAAAAAACAAACAAACAAACAAACTTTAACTTACCAAAAATTCATTTAATTAATCCAACAATGTTTCTTTTAAAAGTACTACTTATAAGTTATAAGTAGTAGAAAACAAACATGTTCACATTATGATTAACGATAGTGAAATGAATCCTACATTATGTGATACATTTTGATCCATTAGATAAATGGGAATATTGAACTGTTAACTATCCAATATTAATAATAACTAACAATCAGATTAATCAGGAAAATTCTATTTATCATTTACATAAGTGAATAATATTTCATTCATATAAGAGGACAGTGAGAAATTGTGACGATGAACCACATTCTTTATATATTTATTTATTTCATTATTTGTTTATTTGTTTGGTTGTTTGTTTTGTTTTGTTCTTCTCTCTCCATTTGAATCTTTTTTTTTTACTTTCGGTCAAACGTAAAATTTGGGAGAAACACATTAATGATAGGGCGGTGTGTGAAACCAGTTTCACGTCTCTCTCTCTCTCTCTCATTCATTCACTATCACGCTCGTTCCCATATACACATGCACGCACGTACGCATGCAAACACTTCAAGCTTCATCATTATCATTCATAGGTCTTGGTAGTGTAGTCTTTTTATTCTTGTTTTAGTGTGTTGATAATTGGAACAGTAGTAATGGTAATGATGATGATGATGATGTGGATGGTGGTGGTCAATTTAGTAAATGTCGTGACTTCATTCATATATGTCTTACCTCTTACCTTTTTGGTGCTTGTTCCTCATATTTTAAGCACGTGCAAATCTTTTCTGTCTAGTGTCTAATCCTACCCAGGTTTTGAATCTCTAAATGCGTTTTTATCTCACTCTCCCGCTCCCTCTCTTTTCTTCTCTGTCTTGGATACATGTAGTGCCACACTCTACTATTTTACACTAACCTAACCACATTCATTACAAACTCGCCACCCATATAACTAATTTTACCGTGTCTTAATTTTTCAGTTCACCCTGAACTTATGTTGAACAGATTTTCAAAGACAGCATGAGACTGCTGTTTTGGTTAAAATGGATTAACAACACCAAAAATATTCACTCTGAATACTACTAATACTCATACTAATACTACTATTAATCTTATTTTCATCATAAATGCACCTTTAAAGACATTAAACAAGTCACCACCACCACCACCACCGATAACATTGTCGTTATCACTACAGCCAACAGAAAATAACCTGATCTCCAGTTAAAACTTGAAGGTGGTGGGATTACATTTCACAACATCAACTGGTTCAACTTAAACATATTTTAAAAAAAAGAACAGGCGGCAAGACTGGAAAATATTCAGTCTATTTTGAAGTAATTAGGTTGGTGGGATAGACAGATGAGATAAAAATTTTGGGATTGAGTTTCACTGTTAGTCTATTTATTTACTACTTACTACTGTTGTATTTTGTCAGTATTTTTTTATTCCAATCGAGAAATATTGTTGTCCTTTAGGAAAAAAAAAAGAGAAAACTTGAGATAGAATTTGTCGTCTACTTTGTCCAGGTAGAATTATATACACAACCCCAGTTATGTGTGGTAACAGAATAGTAGTCGCCTTTTTCACTTTGTCCCTATTTTCTGTAGATCAACAAAATGTATAGACATAAGAATAATTGTCTAACAATTTCATTTGTGAAAATATATTCACACATACATACATACATACATACACATGTACAACAATGTATACACTAGTATAATTCATGCGAATAATGAAATCTTGAAGAGGTGAAAAAACAAAACAAAACAAAAAAAGAAAAAATAATGATGTAATGACATTAGTCCCTAATCTTACATGTCCCAATTTGTAAATGTTTAACCATTTTTCCTTTTTGTAAACTTGATACTTTAGACTAATAAGAAGAAAACCAAAAGAATCAGAACACGATAACCGTTATTATTGGGGCGTCGACAATTATCTATACAAACACTTATACACTTATACATAAACACTTACATGCATGCATATGTCTTCTAATGAAACAAATAAATTCTCAAATATAAAAATGGGTAAATACTAAATGAGAAACAGAGAGAGAGAGAGAAAGAAAGAAAGAAGTAGAAGCATAGATGATAATCGAACATGTGAGTAAGGTCATTTTCACACTTTACTGAATTTATCCACTCTAAAATACAATAAGAGGAAAGTAAGTAGAAGATAATCAACAACAACAACAACAACAACAACAACGACAACAAGAACAAAAAGAAAGAAGAAAAAAATTGATGCATATGAGATAAGTAGGCTGATAAAAGGTAGAAGAAAGAAATGCAATCATATACATTCTATTTTGTATTTATATTTTGTGTCATTTTGGGTTAAATGATTATGGTCGATTTATTTTCATTATGTTTTGTTACATTTTTGGTTATTTGAGAATAAAAAAGTAAAAAAAAATAAATAAATAGTAGTTTTAATTCGAATATATAAAAGTTGTTAAGCTAAAAAAAAGAGAGACATTAAAATATTGAGTTCAATAGATTGTTAAAAATATAGTTAGATACAACTGATGAGTACTAATTGGGGGACGAAATGAATATTTCAAATTTTTACTGATGATGATGATGATGATGATGATGATGATAATTGAATATTGATGGAGTTTTGTTCTCCGAACTGGATGGTTTGGTCGTGGAGCTTTCATCGTTCTTCTGAAAGACATCACCAGTACAAACTTCAGATAAAAATGAAGTGATCGAATTACTCCATATGTGTTTCACAGCTTGTTTTATACACCGCGACGTTGATTGTCAAAATAGTAAACAATGACAGATTTAAGGTCAATAAGAACCAATCAACGTCGAGGTGTACAGAACAAGCTGTGAAACGCATATAGAGAAATTCGAACATTTCACTTCTATCTGAAGTTTGTGCTGATGATGTCGTTCAGAATAACAACGAAAGCTCCACGACCAAACTATCCGGCTCAGAGAACAAAACGCCATCGAAATCATCCACCTGAACTACAAATCTTCTCCACCATCTCAAAAAGATAATTGAATATTTTTTGACTTCAACTGTTACTATGTTGCAGTGGTTTTAGTTGAACATTGTAATGACTCAAAAGTTATTCGTCCGGATTCGGTCATTTTTTGGTAAAAAGAAAACACTTATAGAGCAGTGAATTTAAAACTTTAGATTGGATTTGGGTATGGTAACAGTAAGGTATTTTCTGTGAATTATATATATATATATATATATATATATATAACATACAGGACATTATTAGCAACAACTTACTGTGGGAGAGAACAAACCAAATCCCAGTGGAGGAAAGAATCAGGAAGAAGCGCTGGTAGTGGGTAGGACACACATTGAGGAAAGCACCCAACTACGTTACAAGACAAGCCCTCACACGGAATTCTCAAGGCTAAAGAACACATTACGCCGGGAAACGGGGATGGACATGAGAAAAGTGAACAAGAATTGGATAGAACTAGAAAGGAAGGCCCAGGACAGAGTGGGTTGGAGAATGCTGGTCAGTGGCCTATGGTCCATTAGGAGTAACAAGCGTAAGTAAGTAAGTAAGTAAGTATATATATATATATATATATATATATATATATATATATATATATATATATACAGCGAATCTACCAGTTTACAGACAAAAGAACTGGTTATAAAAAGATAAACTAAAACGAAACTCACTACATCCTTCTTAGCCCTAAGGTTTTCATATCCTATAGGTAAGGTTTGTCAAGTATAAAGCTGATATAGTTTTCACGAGAATAATCCCATTTATTTATATGAGTTTGTATCTCTCAGAGTACATCAGTTCGCATGAAATTACAGGTGTACCTCAGTAGTGATTTTCAACTGGCATGAGACCTAAATCTAGGGTTTCCTGCCAACTACCCTAACATGAGTAATTGATAGACCTCGAAAAATGAAATGAAACATTATCATTGATGATATGGATGAACTTAGCTCGTTAATCAATGTTGATGATACAATATACATTCGAATATGTAGTCTAAAGAAGAACTATATATGTGCATAATTTTGAACAAAGGTAGTGCAATGAAATTTACAGAATCAGATAAATTCAACGTTATATTCTAAAGCTTTGTATCAGTTGGAAATAATTAAAATTTATGAAGAACAACACTGATTAGAAATGAATGTATTTAAAAAGATGGAAACAAATATGAATTATAATATCAAGCATAAGTTGTTTATTATCAGAAGGTATATTTTTGAAGATTTCAGTAATTTTGTAGTTGAATTCATAAGTGAATTGAAGCCAGACCACCATGGGAAACCTGAAAACAATGAACGGCAGTGCTCATTAATGACTGGCTACAAGAGGTATTTCCTGGAAATCAAGTAAGAAGTCGTGACCAGTGGAGTTCGACCGGGTCTGTTGTGAGATAGTAACTCATTGATGACAATGGTAGACGGAGGCGAAATTTCGTGGATTGACTGAAATTAGACATCAACACCGTTGAATGACGACTCAATGGAATAGATGTCGAGTGTTCGAGCGCGAGACATATAAGCCCTAGGTTCGGACCTCGCGTGGTGGGATCGTAGACGCGCTTTGCTAAGGAGTACCATACTAGGACGAAACGGCCGTCCAGTGCCTTCAAGCCTTCCATGGTGATCTAGCTTTAATTGACTTATGAATTCAACTATAAGTTGTTTGGTTTGATGAGTAGTAATAAATGGAATACTTAGTTCTCACAAAGTATTTTTACTAGAATACCAAATTATGAATTACAATTTAAAATTATTCTATGCAATATCACTTGATCTGATCTTATAAAAACTTCGTGTTTTTGGCTAAACTAATTAAAGACAAAGTAAATTCATTACTTATTTATTACAAGTAATCTGTTAGTTGATAACGCTATGATTAAAAGATTTTTTTCAAAAAAATATTCTTTCCAATTGTTAGTTATGTTTCTTGAATAATTTCTTTGCTAGGTTTTTAAAGTAGATTACATTACATTGTATGAGCATTTCATGTACTTAAATTAATGATTGCTTTGATTGTCAGAAAGGGCATCAGCATTATGACTTCCGAAGGGACTTGGCTTTCAACATGTGGCTTCATAAATCTTCTAAATGAAGACCATCTAACTCCTAGGGCATAGTATAAATGGTTTGAATTGTTTTTTTTATCTGGTTAGTCTTTTTTAGCGAGTTAGTTTTCTACGAGATGAGGCCGCTAACCCCATGCCCAATCCTTCTTCTTTGTCCAAGTTTGGGACCGGCAGTATCCCCACAAGGGCCACATGTGACTTTAATTGAATGTCTATTGAAAACTAGCAAGCTTCAGACAATGTTTTCATTAATCTTTTATAGCGATTGTCGATAGTACCTATTCACATGCTTTCCAAGAATCAAATCTAACACAAACGATTAACTCTATGACTA